TAGAAGCATATCCTACAGAATGTTGGAAGCACAGAGAACATTTAGGTAACTGCTGACACGGTGAATAATGAAGACACACAACTGGCACACAGCAAAAACTCCATCATTGTTGCTACTCATCTCCAACATGACTTTTAGGCTCATCTTTGTGCTTCACTTATTTGCTAAAGGTTTGTTTTTAGTTGTGTTTGCATGTAGGTATGTGTAGCACCCCACACGCACAGGCACAGGACACTTTGCAGCTGGAGTTGCAGACACTGTGTGAGCTGCTTGACGTGGGCCCTCTGCGTGAGCAGTATGCTCTTAACTACTGAGTGAATTCCTCAGTTCTACAGTTCAAATTAAAAACAAAACCAAACTGGCCTTATACCAATGAACCCAGGTTACCGGCAGGAACATAAAAGGAGATGACAAAGGTGAAAATGCCAATGATTCAACTCCTTTTCCCAAAAACTCCTGGCTATTTCTCCTGTGAACAGGCTTTGTGATCCACTCATTTAAAAAAACAAAACAAAACAAAACAGTAATAATAAAATAGCTTGTAAGATAAGCATAGAAGACAGAAAACCATACTTATTTCCCAGTTTTTTCTCATATTGACTTCAGTCACGGTAACCAAATATGGGGGTTCCATGGAGAATTTTTCTCCTTCATTGAAAATCTCCAAAACGACCGGGTATTGTGTGACTGGAAACTTGTAACGATGAACCTAAAATACAAATTCCATGAATGAATATAAGTCTGGAAATTCAATAGTGTCATTCTTGATCAAGAAATGAATGAGATTTTGACAGAACCTTGGCTGTTCTGAGTGGAGTGCTTCCTAAAACCTCTGCCTTTCAGACACAAAAAGAGTCTATACAACAAATTCCATGCAAATTCCAAGCAGAAAACACGGTAATGAGATGCATAACTTCTGAAGTTCGTATACAAAGTGATAGGTGTTATAATGGAGTTTTCTTACAGATGTATTTACACACACACACACACACACACACGTATACAATATATATCATATATAATTATCAGGAATTTTCTTCCAAAAATGTTGTACTCTGGGTTTTTATTTTGCACCTCTTTGCAGGTCTCCTTCTTCTCCCCAGACACACCCCCCTTCTGTTTTTATGTCACATAAATTCTCTTCTCTATCTAACCCCGTTTAAGATCTCTTCCTCTGCTTGCTTGGTCTCTTTTCTTCTTTCTACTCCCCCAATTCACACTTAAGTGTAGAGTCTTCACATGAGGAATAACACAGGACTTTTCTTCTAGGCCTGACTTATTTCACTTAACACAATGATCTCCAGTACCAACTATCTTCCTGTAAATGTGATCTGATGTTTTTCATGTCACAAAACACATTGCACAACATATTGTCTCTCCATGTGCTGATGGACATTTTGGATGGTTCCCTTTCTTAGTCATTGTGAGCACTGCAGTAATAAACGTGTGTGCATGCATCTCTGTGGCATAGTGACAAGGTCCTTTGGGTATGTCTCCAGGAGCAGTATCTGGGGCACATGGTAGCCTGAAAATTACATTACATTACATTAATTCATTGGGAGTAGGATTGTTAATTGTGTGTATGATACATGTGGATACTTCTACCCGTGAAATGGAGAGGGCAGAGTAAGCATGTTTATTTTACTTCAGAGATAAGTTTAGTTAATTCCTCTAAGTGCAGAAGACAGATACTTTTAACTGTGTCATATTTGGTTCCAAGTCACAACAGACATTATTTCCACATGTGAGATTATTTTTAAGATGTTTTTATGTATATGGCCTTTTGCCTGCATGTTTATCTCCAAGGCATGTCAATACAGTGCCAGTGGAAGCCAGAAGAGGGCATCAGAGCCTCTAGAACTGGGGTTCCAGAAGGTTGTGAGCTGCATGTGGCTTCTGGGAATTGACCTGGCTCTTCAGCAAAAGCAACAAATGCCTTGATGCACTCAGCCATGCCTTCAGCCTCCACGTCTGAGTTTTCATATTTGACTAAAGGCACATTTGCAATCACAGGAATGGGAAATCATTGCATCATCGGGCAAATATGAATTGTCTTACCTTTTCTTTGCAGTCCGAGAAAGCGACAGCATGTGAAAACTTTTGGTGCTCAGTGCAGTTGCACATTTCCCGACGGGTGGCATTGGCGCACTGTTTGTATTTGCCAGTTTCCTGCAGACAGAAGCAGCAGAGGTTGTCTTGTTTTCATGATTCGGAAATTTTCCAAAGTAAGTGTTTAGGGAATACTTATTCTCTGAATAATAAAATTTCAAGAAGTTACAGAAGAAGATGCATTCAGGATAAAATCAGAGACATTAGTGGTACAGATCTGCAGAAAGCGCTTGCCCAGGAGATTATGAAGGGTGTAATGTAACAATATTTCTGCACAATTCTTTCAGGTTGCACGTGGACGTTTTGTTCTGAAAAAGGTACATCTTCCTTTTCCTTTCACAGTGAAGTTTCTCTGACTAGTATGAAAGCCCATGGAGCTACCGTTTGTCATGTGCAGAGCTCTGTCTTTAGAGAATGTTGATAAGTGTCTGATAACAAAAGTACTGAAATGTGCAAGTGTCACATACCCCAAATCCTGCACTCAAAACCCTCCTGGGGGTAGTTGTAGCAACACATGTCAGCAAACTCATCACCTTGAGTCAAGATGATCAGGAGTTTCATTCAGCCTGGACTACATAGAAGTTTGAGCTAGTGTGAACTACACTACATAGCAAGACCTTGTTCAACAATACAAAATAAACGAGTGATCAAATTTCCATCTTAATTATTTCATATCAACTAGATATATTTCCTACTTAAATCCCCGGAAAATTATGGTGGGGAAAACCCCAGGAAGGTAAAGCTATACATGCAAAAAAAAAAAAAAAAAAAAAATTCTTATGTTAATAAAGGGAATGGTTGTAGTAACAAAAAAGATTTTATCTTTGGAGGAAACAGAGTTGGAGAGCTCAGGGTCTTAGTGCCTCACAGCTTAGAGCAGAATTTCTTGCCCAAACCTAAGATTCAGCAAGAGTGTGTTAACCTCTAAACAGTTTGTGTGTGTGAAAACATGCATACAATATGTATTATTACTTTGTTCAACTCTCTCTTTTGAGACAGTATCTGTGTGTGTGTGTGTTTAGTGTGTGTGTGTGTTTAGTGTGTGTGTGTGTGTGTGTGTGTGTGTGTGTGTGTGTGTGTGTGTGTGGTGCATGTCTTGATGTGTGGGTCTGAGCCAGAGCAAACCAGCAGGGGTCTGTTCTTTATTTCTACTCCATCCTAGGGGTCAGACTGAGTTCAGGCTTGATGGCCAGGGCCTTTGTCAGCTGACCTAGATCATGAGCACACTGATTTCTTAAATATAATTCAAAAACTGCATTAGTTCATTTATAGACACATTCTTTACCTTTGATTTCTGAAACAGATTTCTTGGGATGGGTTTGCTAGGGTCTGCATGATAAAAGTTATCGGTCAGTGGAATAGAAATTCCCATATTAGATGGAGGCCTGTAGTTTACCTGCAGATGATTAGGTAAAGAAAGGGGGCCACGGGTTATTATTCACCACAGCATAAACATTTTGGCTTTTTTAGAAAACTGTTTAATGCAAACAATTCACTTCTAGCTCCAGGCATTACAATTAATTTCTCCTCTTCAGTACTTCCACCCCTCAGGTTCTGTAATTTCAAAGACCTTACCCTGTGATGATGTCATTTGGACTTTGTAAAGAGGTGAAAATGACTTTTAGTTCTTAAAGTAGCTGCCATGAAGTTACTTCAGGGTATGTCCAAGCATTTTAGAGAAGAGGCTCAGTGATTCAGTTAGAACGCAGCCTCAAGTTTGATTATTTGTTTTCTGTCACAAAACTAGAAGTAGTACTTCAGCTAATTTTTAGCTTTGAAATGGTCACAAGAATCCCCAAATAAGACAAGACACAACAAAATAAGTGGCCGAGCAGATGGCTCAGCTGGTAGTGTCTGCCACTCAAGGGGAAACTCAATTGTGCCAGCACTAACCCCTAACCGCAATAGAGAGGGCAGAGACAGGCCTATCTGGAGAGCTTGTCTGCAGATCTAGGTAAAATGGTGACTTCTAGGCTCAACGAGAGATCGTCCTCAGAAAAAAGGCAGATTTAGGAAGACATCTGAGGTTAACTGTTGGCCTCCACATAAGCCCACATGGTCAAGCTTTCCTGCACACACGATTGCAAGCATGCATGATGGCCCTAACACACAAGAACAAAATTAGAGGACTCACAGATACTAACAAAACAAAAGCAAAAGTTATTATACTGAAATGCGGTTGTTCACAGGAGAACTGGAAGGTCAAGTTCAATATTTTGAGACTTTACTGAAGGGGGGAAAAAAACCTAAACCCAAAGAGAAATAGAATCGTTTAGATATATAAGCTTGAGACAAAATCATTGTAAGTCAATATGGTTGCATGTATCACAAAATCCCAAGATTATACCATCATTATACTAATAACATTAATGATGATGAGGGAAGTTAGTGACAAAAATATTCATTTCAGGAAGTAATAATGGGTTTGAAATGAATCATCACCATCACATTCTTAAAATGACCCACAGTTCGAAAAATGATGAAACTGCTAGAGGTCCTCAGAGCGGAACTGCTAACACGGAATGGCCATGGAAGGCCGCAGGAGAAGCACATCACTTGCCCTCTTAAAGGGGCAGAGCTAGAATCTTACCGGCAGAGTTTTGATCATGTTGAAGCCCAGACTGTCCTCGTGAACTCCGCTGGTCCAGTCTTCAGGTGGTATGTAAGTGTCGGGAACGTGGTGCATAGTCCTGAGGTAACTGCAGCTGCTCTTCATGGTTGTCACCAGCGTCGTGACAAGGCAATCGGTTGATGCGTCCCACAGAACCAGCGCCAGCGACGTGGAGCCCTGGGTACAGCCCAAAGCGGAAGGTTAGAATCCCGGAGACATCCAAAACACATCGGGGTTTGTTTTGTTTTATTTTGTTTTTTCCTGACCATTATATTTTTCCTTTTTCTTTTTTTTAATTTTAATTTTAATTTTAATTTTTTTCTACAATTTATTCAATATATATTCCGATTGAAGTCCCCCACCCTCAACTCCTCCCAATCCCACCGTCCCTCCCTCTACCCTCCATCCCACTGAAAGGGGGAGTTCTCCACCATTGCCATCTGCCTATAGCTTGTTAAGTCCAGTCCTATCAGGACTGCCTGGTTCTCTTCCTCCATGGCCAGGCAAGGCCGCATCACCAAGGGCGAATAATCAGAGAACTGTCAACTGAGATCATGATAGAGACAGCCCCTGCTCCCCTCACTCAGAGATCCACATGGAGACTGAGCTGCCAATTGGCCACATCTGAGCAGGGGGTCTAGGTCCTCTCCATGCATGGTCCTAGGTTGATGCATCAGTCTCTGCAGCACCCCCTGGGCTCAGGTCCTTTAGCTTTGTTGGTCTCCTTGTGGGGCTTCTGTCCCCTTCCATGTCCTTCTATGCCCACCCCTCTCTTCCTCCATAAGACTTCCTGTGCTCTGCCCAAAGTTTGGCTGTGAGTCTCAGCATCTGCTTCGATCCCACCTGTTGGGTGCATCCTTTCAGAGGACCCTCTATAGTAGGTTCCTGTCCTGTTTCCTCTCTTCCACCGCTTCTGATGTCTATCCTGTGTGCCATTCTGAATGAGCTTTAAGCACCCTCTAGGGTCCTCCTTAGTGTTAAGCTTCATTAGGTCTGTAGATGGCTGTCCTATATTATACAGCTAATATCTGCTCATAAGTGAGTTCATACCATGCCTGTCTTTCTCTTTCTGGGTTACCTCACTCGGGATGATCTTTTCTAGTTTCATCCATTTGCCTACAAATTTCATGATTTCCATGTTTTTAATTACTGAGTAGTATTCCATTGTGTAAATGTACCACAATTTCTGTATCCATTCCTCCAATGAGGGACATCTGGGTTGTTTTCAGATTCTGGCTATTATGAATAGAGCTGCCATGAAAATAGTTGAGCAAATGTCCTTATGGGGCATCTTTTGGATATGTGCCTAGGAGTGGTACAGCTGGATCTTGAGGTAGTGCTTTTCCCAATTTTCTGAAAAAGCACCAGATTGATTTCCAAAGTGGTTGTACAAGTTTGCACGCCCACCAGCAATGGAGGAGGGTTCTCTTGTCTCCACATGTTCTCCAGCATGTGTTGTCACTTGAGTTTTTGATCTTAGCCATTCTGATTGGTGTAAGATGGAATCTCAGAGCTGTTTTGATTTGCATTTCCCTAATGACTAATGATATTGATGATTTCTTTTTTAATTGATTTATTTTTTATTAATTACAATTTATTCACTTTGTAGTCAAGCTGTAGCCCTCTCCCTTGTCCCTTCCCAATCTCACCCTCCTTCCCTTTCCTTCTCCCATGTCCCTCCCTCAGTCCACTGATAGAGGAGGTCCTCCTCCCCTTCCATCTAACCCTAGCCTATCAGGTTTCATCAGGACTGGCTGCATTGTCTTCCTCTGTGGCCTGGTAAGGCTGCTCCTCCCTCAGGGAAAGGTGATCAAAGAGCCAGCTTCTGAGTTCATGTCAGAGACAGTCCCTGTTCCCATTACTAGAAAACCCTCTTGGTCACTGGGCTGGCATGGGCTACATCTGCGCAGGGGTTCTAGGTTATCTTCATGAATGGTCCTTGGTTGGAATATCAGTCTCAGAAAAGACCCCTGAGACCAGATTTTTTTCTTTTGTTCTCCTTGTGGAGCTCCTGTCCTCTCCAGGTCTTTCTATCTCCCCCTTCTTTCATAAGATTCTCTGTACTTTGCCAAAAGTTTGCCTGTGAGTCTCAGCTTCTACTTTGATACCCTGCTGGGTAGAGTCTTTCAGTGGCCCTGTGTAGTAGGCGCTTGTCTTGTTCCCTGTTTTCTCCCTCTTCTGATGTCCATCTTGTTTGTCTTTCTGAATGAAGATTGAGTATCTTACCCAGGGTCCTCCTTCTTGCCTAGCTTCTTTAGGTGTACAGATTTTAGAATGTTTATCCTATATTATATGTCTAATATCCACTTATAAGTGAGTATATGCCATGTGTGTCTTTCTGCTTCTGGGTTACCTCACTCAGGATGATCTTCTCTAGTTCCCACCCTTTGCCTGAAAATTTCATGGTTTTCTTGTTTTTAATTGCTGAGTAGTAATCCATTGTGTAAATGTATCACAATTTCTGTATCCATTCCTCAACTGAGGGACATGTGGGTTGTTTCCAGCTTCTGGCTATTATGAATAAGGCTGCTACGAACATTGTTGAGGAAATATCCTTGTTGTACTTAAGTGTTTCTCTGCCATTTGATATCCCTCTGTTGAGAATTCTCTGCTTAGCTCTGTCCCCAAATGGGATTATTTGGTGTGTTGGTGTCTAATTATACAAATTCTTTATATATTCTGGATATTAACCCTATGTCAGATATAGGATTGATGAAGATCCTTCTGCAGTCTGTAGGCTGTCATTTTGTTCTGATGACAGTGTCCTTTGCTTTACTGAAGTTTTCTGTTTTATGATACTCCATGTATTAATTGTAGATCTTAGAACCTGTGCTGTTGGTTTTCTGTTAAGGAAATTGTTACCTGTGCCAATGAACTCAAGACTCTCTCCGCTCTTTCTTCAAACAGAATTAGTGTGTCTGATTTTATGTTGAGATCTTTGATCCACTTGCACTTTAATTTTGTGCAGAGTGATAGAAATGAGTCTGTTGCCATTTTTCTATATGTTAGACCAGCACCATTTGTTGAAGATGCTATCTTTTTTCCATTGTATGGTTTTGGCTTCTTTGTAAAAAAATTAGGTGTCCATAGGTGTGTGGGTTTATTTCTGGGTCTTTGTTCCAATTCCATTGATCCACCATTCTGTTTCTATGCCAGTACCATGCAGTTTTAATACTGTTTCTCTATAGTACAGCTTGAGATCAGGGATGGAGATACTTCCAGAAGATCTTTTATTGTACAGGATTGTTTTAGCTATTCTGGTTTTTTTTTTTTTTTTTTGTTATTCTATATGAAATTAAGAGTTGTTCTTTCAAGGTCTGTAAAGAATTGTGTTGGTATTTTGATAGGAATTGCATTGAATCTCTAGATTGCTTTTGGTAAGAAGGCCATTTTTACTATGTTAACCCTACCAAGTCATGAACATGGAAGATCTTTTCATTTTCTCATATCTTCTTCAATTTCTTTTTTTCAAAGACTTAAAGGTTTCTTTTGAAAAGGTCTTTCACTTACTTGGTTAGAGTCACACCATGGTACTTTATGTTATTAGTGGCTATTGTGAAGGGTGTGGTTTCCCTAATTTCTTTCTCGGCCCTTTTGCTATACAGGAGGGCTACTGATTTTTTAGTTTTTGATTTTGTACCCAGCCACTTTGCTGAAGCTGTTTATCAGCTGTAGGAGTTCCCTGGTTGAATTTTTGGAGTCACTCATGTATACTATCATATCATCTGCAAATAGTGATGCTTTGACTTCTTCTTTTCTGATTTGAATCCCCCTGATTCTCTGTACTCCTTTAATTGTCTTATTGCTCTAGCTAGGACTTCCAGTACTATGTTGAAGAGATATGGATAGAATGGGCAGTTTGCCTTGTCTCTGATTTCAGTGGGATTGAATTAAGTTTCTCTCCATTTAGTTTGATGTTGACTATAGGCTTGCTGTATATTGCTTTTACTATGTTTAGGTATGTGCCTTGTATCCCTGATCTCTCCAGGACTTTAAACATGAAGGAGTGTTGGATTTTATCAACTGCCTTTTTTTTTTTTCCATCTATGGAAATGATCATGTGAGGTTTTTTTTCCTTTCAGTTTTTTTTTTATATGGTGGATCATACTGATGTATTTCCATATATTGAACCACCCCTGAATACCAGAGATGAAGCCTACTTGGTCATGGTAGATGATATCTTTGATGGTGTCTTGGATTCGGTTTGCAATACTTCGATTGCAAGTATTTCGTTGAGTATTTTTGCATCAATGTTCAGAAGGGAGATTGGCCTGAAATTCTATATCCCCTAAGGAAATAGAAATTGTCATCAAAAGTCTACCATGCAAAAAAAGCCCACGACCTGATGGTTTCAGTGCTGAATTCTACCAGAACTTCAAAGAAGAGCCAACACTATTACTCTTCAAACTTTCCCATAAAACAGAAACAGAAGGAACATTACCAACCTCATTCTATGAAGCCACAGTCACCTTGGTACCTAAACCTCACAAAGACCTAACAAAGAAAGAGAATTTCAGGCCAAACTTTTTCTTTTATTATTTTATTCACTTCATAGCCTTATCACAGCCACCCTCCCTCCAAAATATATTGATTTTAATTATCCAGAAAATGATCTATGATAGTTGTGTTTTGGTCTTGAATGGGCAAGGTTATTAAGCACATAGCAATCTCGCCAAAGAAAAAGAATAAATAACGGGAAGTTGAGAGATACAAAACAATATTAAATCAGGTAGTCAAAACCCGTGTCACATTCTGACTGAGACTGTCTCTTTTCTTGGTTGTTAGTTTTTCTTCTTACGTGTGTGTGTGTGTGTGTGTGTGTGTGTGTGTGTGTGTGTAAGTCAGAGGACAACATGAGTGAGTTGGTTCCTTTCTCATCTAAACCTTCCAAGTGCTGGGATTATAAATGTGCAGTAACATATCTGGCATATGCCCTGCTTGGATGTAACCCTGGTCTTCATGCATGCCAGACAAGTGCTTCCCCAACTGAGCCACAGTGGGTTGGTCTTGAAATTAGTTACTATTGTTTCTTTGTCTTCTAATATTATATTTTAACTATGTTGTGAGCAAGACATTTATTTTCTAGTCCTGTCTCTAGTGCTTAAATTTGAATGTTCACATCACCCTGTATTTGGAGGAAATTTTCTTTTACAATTCCATTAAACAAATTTCCTATGCCCTTTCATTTTCTCTGAGTTTCTTTTTCTATCCTGTGGATTCTTAAACGTGGTCTCATGATCAAGCTGTCAAATCTTAGTGGTAGAAAATTATGGGCATGAAATACTAGTTTATTTGTTTGTTTGTTTGTTTTGTTGCTATCTGAATGTATTCTTTACCAGACCTGATCTTCAATTTCTGGTGTTCTTTCTTCTGCTTGGTCAGGGTTCCTGAAAATGCTTTCCACTGTGTTTTTATTTGATCTATCTAAAAATTTCATTTACAACATTTCTACTTGTTTTTTCTTAATCTTCAAAATCTCAATTTTCTTGTTTAAATAATATCTTGTCTGTGATGCCAGCTTTCTTTTTGAGCACCAGAACTGATTGTTTGTGTTATTAGTCCGCTTATTTGAATCCTCCTCCAGATTACTGGTCATTCAAATTTAAGAGCTAGAAATAGGACTTGAAAATTAGTTTTAGGTCTCGATATAGTTAAAATACTAATATCAGAAAACAAAGAAGCAATAGTAACAACCATTTTAAGTGTTTGCCTTTGAAGCCTTTGTCTGGCCCTTTAATCATTTTGTTATCTTTGAGGGTTGGTTTTTCTTTTTTAATTTTTACTTTTACTTTATTTTCACAATTTATTCATTACATATCCTGATTGAAGTCCCCTCCCTCAACTTTTTCTAGTCCCACCCGTCCTCTCTCTTTCCGCTATCCCCTTCCTTTAGTCCACTGAAAGTAGATTTCTCCTCCTCTGACATTTGCCAATAGCTTTTCAGGTCTCATCAGAACTGCCTGGATCCTCTTCCTTTGTGGCCTGGCAAGACTGCATCTCCAGGGGCAAGTGATCAAAGAGCAAGCAATCAAGTTCATGACAGAGGCAGCCTCTGCTCCCCTTACTAAGGAACCCACATAAATCCTGAGCTGCCAATAGGCTAGATCTGAGCAGGGGTTCTAGGTCCTCTCCCTGCATAGTCCTTGGTTGGTGCATCAATCTCTGCAGTACCCCCTGGGCTCAGGTCCTTTAGCTTTGTTGGTCTCCTTGTGGGGCTCCTGTCCCCTTCATGTCCTTCTTCTATCCACTCCCCTTCTCCCCTAAGACTCCCTGTGCTCTGCCCAAAGTTTTACTGTGAGTCTGCTTCGATGCCCTGTTGGGTGAATCCTTTCAGAGGACCCTCTATAGAAGGCTCCCATCCTGTTTCCTCTCTTCCGCCGCTTCTGGTATCTATCCCATTTGCCATTATGAATGAGATTTAAGGATCCTCCCTAGGGTCATCCTTAGTGTTAAGCTTCTTTAGGTCTGTAGATTTCAGTATTGCAATGTTATTTGGCTAATATCCACTTATAAGTGGGTGCATACCATGCCTGTCTTGCTGTTTCTGAGTTACCTCACTCAGGATGATCTTTTCTAGTTTCATCCATTTGCCTGTAAATCTCATGATTTCCTTGCTTTTAATTCCATTGTGTAAATGTACCACACTTTCTGTATCCATTCCTCCATTGGGGGACATGTAGGACATCTTCTGGCTATTACAAATAAAGCTGCTATGAACATAGTTGAGCAAATGTCCTTATTGAATGGTGGGACATCTTTTGAGTATATGCCCAGGAATGATAGAGCTGAATCTTGAGGTAGTGCTATTCCCAGTTTTCTGAGAAAGTACCAGATTGATTTCCAAAGTGGTTGTACAAGTTTGCACTCCCACCAGCAATGGAGGAGGGTTCCCTTGTCTCCACATCCTGTCCAGCATGTGTTGTCACTTGAGTTATTTTTTTTCTAAGATTTATTTATTGTTTATACAGCATTCTGCCTGCATGTGCAGCTGTACACCAGAAGAGGGCACCGGATCTCATTATAGATGGTTGTGAGACACCATGTGGTTGCTGGGAATTGAACTCAGGATCTTTTGAAGAACAGCCATTCTTAACCACTGAGCCGTCTCTTCAGCCCTGTCACTTGAGTTTTTTATCTTAGCCGTTCTGATTGGTGTAAGATGTAATCTCAGAGTTGTTTTGATTTGCGTTTCACTGATGACTAACGATATTGAGCATTTCCTTAAGTGTTTCTCTGCCATTCGATACTCCTCTGTTGAGAATTCTCTGCTTAGCTCTGTACCCCAATTTTAAATTAGATTATTTGATTTGCAGTTTGGTTTTTCAGGGGGTTTTGGTGATCTTTTAGAGGTATCATGCTGCTTTGTCTTCGTATGTTGTATTTTTGATTGTGCACCTAATGAGATGGCTATGATTTCTGATCTTATTCAGGATTCTTCATAGGGAATAGCATTAAAAACCTCTGCTTTCATTTTTGTTCTTCTTGGGGTGACTAGGGCTAGGATCAGATGGAAGGGGAGGAGGACCTTCCCTATCAGTGGACTTGGAGAGGGGCATGGGAGGAGATGAGGTAAGGAAGGTGGGAATGGGAGGGAATAAGGGAGGAGGCTACAGCTGGGATACAAAGTGAATAAACTGTAATTAATATGAAAAATAAAAATAAAAAAATAATAAATTAGAAGAGATTTACAACTATATAAGCAAAAGTTCTTTTACTTTCTATTCTTTTAAGATTCAATTACTATGTACCCAAGGCTGGCCTGGAATTCACTATGTAGGCCAGACTGGCCTTAAACTCTCATTGATCTGCCAGCTCATGCCTCCAAGGGTTCTGGAATTAAAGGTATGCACCACTCCTGACTATAGTCCCTGAGAGGCACACAGCAGAAGCTGTCAAATTGGTGGCCCATCCTTCCTGCCTCAGCCTGTGCTGTCACAGGAGCTGTCAACATGTTGGCATTTGTCCAAATGGTGGCACATTTCAGGGCAGGGACACTTTCTCAGCCTGCTGCCGTCATGAGATAGCACCATGGAAGCTGTCCATGGTGTCTGCACCTTCTTTCCTTAGCCTGCTGCCATAGCGAGGTACCACTGGAGAAGCTTTTCACGGTGACAGCATCTCCTCTCCAGCCTCCCAGAGCAGCTCCACAGCAATGGCATACCAGCCAAAGCTGCATGATGCCAGGAAGTTCTTCCCATCCCAACCCATGGGTCCAGTGCAAGGAAAGGGTGGTGGAAAAAGTCACCAACCCCTGAGCAAGAAACCCCAGCAATCCCTGACCTTCCCACAAAATGCCACCAATCCCTGGGCACAAAAACCCACCAATCTCTGAACACAAAATCCCACCAATCTCTAGACAGAAAGACCCACCAATCCCTGACCTTCCCAAGCTCAGAACTTAAAATCCCACCAGTCCTTACTCTGGAACTCTGCCCTGAAAAGCTCTGCCCCTTAAAAAATCCTATATAAACCCTGCACTTTCTTTCAATTTTATGCTGTCCATTCCTGGGGGCAAGGGCAGCGAAACCTGGATTCATCCCTCCACATCCTGGACATTCCAAAAAATCTCTTTTATGAGATTTGCTGCCTTTTGTAACTCTTTCATTAGAAAAAGCTAAGAAGCAATGAAATAAAGAAATAACTAACCAAAAAAGTGGAATAGGCTGAGGCTCCTGGGCTCCTTTGCTCAGCTGGGGATACCCTCTACTGAGAGCAGGGAATTGGAACTATCATGCTGCAGCACTCCAGCTCAACAAAGGATATCCTCCCTCTTGGCTGCGATGTTTCTTCTGAGGAGGTATCCTCTCAGAGCTGGGTAGTTCCTGGGCTTCTGAGTCCCAGGACACACTTCCATCAGAGCCAGAAGGCCAACACTGACCAAAACACATATTTCTAACTTTTATCAACCTAAACCCAGCCTTATAAAATACCACACATGTTAAATGGTCTTACATATAATTGATAGAAGGATTATGTTGGCCTTTCATAGCTATTAAGTCTACACTTTTTATATCTAATAGATTATTTTGTAATAATAAAAAATGTCTTACTTTGTGTGAAAATTTGCTACCTACGTCAATCTTCAAATGGTAATTTTCGTTGATGTCATAGTGACCTTCTGTCTTAACTTCCAATAACATTGGGTTTCCAATAATCACACTCAATGGTTGGCCTTGAACTGGCATTGAACCTATGGAATCAGTAACAACAGTTAGCATTACATAACAAAACTGTAAAAACAACTTAATAATAATTGGCAATTTTAATAGTTCTTAGAAAAAATATAGGTACTTTACACAGGAAATACTTTTCCCTTCTGCTCCTCATTTCTCATCCAGGTTCTCAAGTAGATAGCAAGATCAGTTGGGTACTGCTGGTTATGTTTGCTATAGGCAGGTACTTGTTGATACAATTACCTACAAGTACGGAGCTGAGGAAGCTGATGCCCTTCAAATGATTAAAAATATCCCAGTGAAATTTTGTATGTGCTGGGAACTGAACTTGGTTCACTGAAAGAGCCATATGGACCATCTCGCCAGTGTTGCTTCAAAGATGCATAGTGTATTTAGTGGTTTAAAATAACCTCCTTGGGGGGGTCCACGGTGGTGGCAAACAGTGCACCCCACATCTGGGGGGGCACAGGATCCGAAACTCTGAAATTGGTGAGTGGAGGGGCAGCTGGAGGCAGAACATTGACATTGAGGCTTCCTGGGTGAGAGGGGACAACCCAGGAGCTGGGATTTGGATCCAGGTCCAGACCAGTGGACATCTCCAGGGACTGAGAGTGGTGAATATTCAACTCCCCTGCACTTCCCCGTTCCCCAAGCATGGGTCTCCCTGTTCAGCAGAGGCAATACTGATTGCCTCAAGCATGAGCCTCCACACTCAGTGACTGAAAAGGCACAGGCTGGCCTCCCAGGACTGTGGCTGTGGAGGGGTGGTGGCTAGCCCAGACAGGAGCCTCCATGCTCTGTGATGGAGATGGCAGAAGCAGCTACACCAAGTACAGGCCTCCCTGCCCAGAGGACAAACAGTGAACACTACTGAGCTGACAGATCTCCTACACTCTCATTTGTCCCTGCAGGCCCAAATCTGAGAGTACAGAACAGAAAGGAACTCCTGTGCTTTCTTATTAGGCCTGTGAGCAAGTGAGTGCACCTTCAAGTGAGTGCTTGCAGAGTGTCAGATCCAGGGTCCCTCTAAGCTAGTAGCCAAACATCAGATCCCTCCCACTCACACCCTGACTGTGGGCAACATAGGGATCCTTGGGTATTCTCAACACTGAAGTCCCTGTTCTGTGGGTCTACCAGTGGAGTCCAGGCAAACAATTCGTGGGACCCAGAAGATCTGAAAACCAGGAGGACAGTACGACAGGCCTGTAGGCCACTGAGGTAGTCAGGGAACCTGCGCATGTGCATTGAGCCCTCAAACAATGAACAGCACTAGCACCCGCACCCCCTCCAGCGCTTAAACTCCACCCTTCCAGGCATCTACACTCTCTAGCACCCTCTCCCACTGCAACCTTTCTCCTTTAGCTACTGCTGAAACACCAACATCTACTCTTGAACCAGTGGACCTCTCTCATCTTCCTGAAGAATACTCCAAACACCAGAGAAAGGTGGGCCAGTCTGGAGTATAGACTCCAGGAACAAACAGCAAAGGTTACAGATAAGCAGATGGCTGGAGGTTGTTGTAAGAACATATCCAACAAAAATCAGGATATTATGGCCTCACCAGCAACCTCCAAAATTAATGTATATTTTAATTCATTGGAAACACAGGAAATGATTTTAAAGCTATGCTTATCCAGTTATTAGAAGCACATAAAGAAGAAACGAACAAAGCTCTCAAAGAAATACAGGCAAATACAGCCAAACAAATAGAGGCACAGGTAGAGGCACAAGTAGAGGCAAATAGAGAGGAAACAAATAAAGCTCTCAAAGAAATACAGGCAAATACAGCAAACAAATAGAGGCACAAGTAGTGGCATATAGAGAAGAAATGAACAACAACAACAACAAAAAAAAACTAGAGGCCATCATGGAAAGACAGGAATCCACATTCAAACAGATGAAGGAAATGGTTCAAGACATGAAAACAGAATTAGGATCAATAAAGCACTGGAGCTGGAGAACTTAAAGAAAAGATCAGGAACCAAAAAGGTAAGTGTCACCAACATAATACAAGAAATTAAAGAGAGAATTTCAGGTACTGAAGATACACTTGCAGAAATCTTTCAAAGAAAAAGTAAAATCAGAAAAGTTCCAACAAAAAACATCCAGGAAATCAAGGATACCATGAAAAGATGAAATCTAAGAATAATAGGAATAGATAAAAAAAGAAGATTCCAGGCTCCAAGGTCCAGAAAATATTTTCAAGAAAATCATAGAAGAAAATTTTCCCAACTTAAAGAAAGAGATGTCCATAAACATACAAGAGCCCTACAGAACACCAAATAGATTAGACCAGAAAAGAAACGCCTCATGTCACATAATAGTTAAAACACTAAATCTACAGAACAAAGAAAAACTATTAAAAGAAGCAAGGGGAAAAGGCCAAGTAACAGATAAAGGTAGACCTATCAGAATCACACCAGACTTCTCATCAGAAACTATGAAAGCCAGAAGGCACTGGGCAGATGTCATACAGACTTTAAGGGACCACAGATGCCAACCCAGACAAAGCTTTCAATCAACATAGAGAGAGAAAATGAAATATTCCATGACAAAACTAAATTGAAACAATATCTACACAGCAACCCAGACCTACAGAAGATACTAGAAGAAAAACTCCAATCCAATGAAATCAACTACACCCAAGAAAACACAGGATATAGATAACTTCACAACAAAAATTTAAAAGAAAAGAAGCAACGAAACACAGTAACAGCACCACCTCCACTATAAAAGGAACTAACACTCATTGGTTACTATTATATATCAACATCAATGGACTCAACTCTCCAATAAAAAAACACAGACTAAGAGAATGGTTGAGGAAACAGGATCCAACATTCTGCTGCGTCCAAGAAACACAACTCTGCAACAAAGATAAACACTACCTCAGAGCAAATGACTGGGAAAATGTTCTTCAAGCAAACAGACCCAGAAAACAAGCTAAGGTAGCTATCCTAATAGCTAATAAAATAGACTTTCAACCAAAATTAATCAAAAGAGATGAGGAAGAGGCACTTCATTCTCATCAAAGGAAAAACCCACCAGGAGGACATCACAATCCTGAACATCTGTGCCCCAAATACAAGAGCACCTACATTTGCAAATGAAACATTATTAAAGCTTAAATCATACATTGATACCAACACCTTAATAGTGGGAAATTTCAAAACTCAACTCTCACTAAAGGACTGATCATCTGGACATAAGTTAATAGGGAAATAATGACACTTACAGAGGTCCTAAATCAAATGGACCTAATAGATATCTACAGAACTTTTTTACCCAAACTCAAAAGAGTTTACCTTCTTTTCAGTGCTTCACGGAACCTTCTCAAAATTTGACCATATAGTCTGGCACAAAGCAAGCCTCCAACAGATACAAGAAGATCAAAATAATCCCTTGTATCCTATTAGACCACCATGATCTAAAACTAGACCTCAACAACAACAGAGCCTGCATACACATGGAAACTAAACAACTCTCTATTCAAATGACAGCTTGGTCAGGGAAAAATGAAAAAAAAAAAAAAGAAATTAAAGAATTCCTAACATTTAATGAGAATGAAGGCACAATTTACCCAAATTTATGGGACACAATGAAAGCAGTTCTAAGAGGAAAGTTCATACCACTAAGTACCTCCAGAAAGAAGTTTGAGACATCTCATACAATCAACTTAATGGCACACCTAAAAGGCCTGGAAAAAAAAATAATCAGACACAGCCAAGAGGAGTAGACAGTTGGAAATAATCAAACTGAGAGCTGAAATCAATGAATTAGAAACAAAGAAAACAATTCAAAGAATCAATGAGAATCAATCAAGAGCTGGTTCTTTGAGAAAATCAACAACATAGACAAACCCTTAGACAAAATAACTAAAAGGCAGAGAGAAACTATCCAAATCAGTAAAATCAGAAACAAAAGGGGGGGGCATAATGGCAGACACTGAGGAAATCAAAACAATCATTAGGTCATACTACAAAAACCTAAATGCCACAAATTTTGAAAACCTAAATGAAATGGACAATTTTCTTGATAGATTCCATTTACCAAAATTAAACCATGATCAAGTAAATAGATTAAATCGTGCTACATACCCCAAGGAAATAGAAACAGTTATCAAAAGTTTCACTTCCAAACAAAGCCCCGGACCAGATGGTTTCAGTAAATAATTCTACCAGACCTTCAGAAAATTCTTTTCAAACTATTCCATAAAATAGAAACAAAAGGAACATTACCAAACTCATTCTATGAAGCCACAATCACCTTGATACCTAAACTACACAAAGACCCAACAAAAAAAGAGAAGTTCAGACCTATCTCTCTTATGAACATTGATGCAAAAATACTCAATAAAATACCCATAAACTGAATCCAAGAACACATAAAAGATATCATCCATCATGACCAAGTAAACTTCATCCCTGGCATACAAGGGTGGTTCAATATATGGAAATCGATCAATGTAATCCACCATATAAAAAAACTGAAAAAGAAAAACGACATGATCATCTCCTTAGATGCAAAAAAGTATTTGATAAAATCCAACACCCATTCACATTTAAAGTCTTGGAGAGATCAGGGATAAAAGGCACATACCAAAACATAGTAAAGCAAGCCTATAGCCAACATCAAACTAAATGGAGAGAAACATAAATCAGTCCCACTGAAATTATGAACAAAACAAGACTGCCCACTCTCTCCATACCTCTTCAACATAGTACTTGAAGTCCTAGCTACAGCAATAAGACAACTAAAGGAGATCACTGGGATAAAAATAGGAAAAGAAAAAGTCAAAGTATCACTATTTGCAGATGATATAATAGAATACATGAATGACCCCAAAAGTTCAACCAGAGAAATTCTTCAGCTGATAAACACCTTCAGCCAAGTGGCCGGATACAAAATTAACTCAAAAATATCAGTAGCCCTCCTGTATACTAAAGACAAAAGGGCGGAGAAAGAAATTAGAGAAACAACCCCCTTCACAATAGTCACTAATAACGTTAAGTACATT